TCTCAGGATTTCTGGAGCACTAGAAGAACCCAGTCATCTAGCCAGGGAATTTGGAAGACAACTACTTGGCCAACTGATAGGAAAAGGTCCATATTTGCACTAAGTTAAAAGAAAGCTGACCCCATAGAATGCTCAAATCATAGAGAAATACCATAAATATTATACAAGTAAAAGTTTGCTAAAGATGATCCAACAATTACTGCAGCAGTCCATGTACAGGGAGCTGCCAGAGGTTCAGGCGAAGTTCAGAAGCTGACCTGAAAATAAGGGAAATCATTGTTGATATCAGGTAGACCTTTCCTGAAATTAGAAATACCAGAAATATATTTATTGTGTTTTATTGACTATGCAAAGGCATCAGACTGTGTGTACAGTAACAAAATATGTATAACCCTGAGAAGACTAGGAATTCCAGAGCACTTCATTGTGCTCATGTGGAAACTGTACATGAATTGAGAGGCATTTTGCAAACTGAACTAGTGGGATACTGAATGGCATAAAATCAAGAAAGGGGTGTGTTGCAGCTGTATCCTGTGGCCACACCTATTCAAACTGCATGCAGATGAAATAATCTGAGAAGCTGGGACTCTGAAGAAGAACGTGGTGTCGGGATTGCAGGAAGGCTTATTAACAGCCTGCAATATTCAATGACCCAACCTTGCGTACTACAATTCAGGACTTGAAGTACTTGCTGATGAAGATGAAGGAAGGCAGCCTTTATTATGGGTTTCAACTGAATGTAATGGGTTTCAACTGAATGCAATGAAGATGCAGTTTCCAGCAATTGGACCAGTTTATAGCATCCTGATAGATGGAGAAAAGATTGAAGATGTCAAGGGTTTTGTTTTGGGTGGATCCACAATGCTCATGCAATCAGCAGTCAAGAGATCAAAGAGGTGTTGCGTTGGGTAAATCTGCTGCACAAGGCTTTTATAAAGCCTTGAACAGCAAGGAGGTTATTTTGAACATTGAGATTTGCCTGACGCAAGCAATGGTATTTTCAGTTGCCTCCTATGCAGATGAAAGTAGGACACGGACTAAAGAAGACAAATGGGTACATTTGAATTATGGTGCTAGTGGGAAATATGGAAGCCGCCATTGACTGCCCAAAGAATAAGTCTGTCTGGGAAGAAGTGCTGTCCGAAAGCTCCTTAGAGGCAGGGATGGCGAGACTTCATCTCATGTATTTTGGACATGGTGTCAAGAGACGCCAGTCCCTGGAGAAGGTCATCCTGCTTGGTAAAGTAGAATGGCAGCAAAAAAGAGGAAGCTTTGGGCAAGGTGGATTGACACTGTGGATTCCACCATTGATTTAAGCATGGCATGTTTGTGAGGCTGGCACAAGACTGGCAGTATTGTAGTCTGCGGTGGATAGGACTGCTAGATGTTGGAAGCAACTAGATGGCTCCTAACAAGAGCAGCAATGAGTTGGAAAGAACTCGAACACAACAATAAAACATCTACCCACTATCAGGTCATCACCTCTATATAAGCTTAAATCACTGCGCTAGCTTGTTTACCAACTTTCTGCTTCTACCTTTGTCCATTTAAATTTGTTTCTTCATTGATAAGATAATTTTGAATTATCAAGAAATATGCTGTCTTCCCTTTGGCTCATATTTGTACAAAAGCTGCTCAATTATCTCAACTTACAGGTCAAAGGCTTTATGACAATAGCCTTTTGGTTGTGATTCTCATTTATAGCTACTCCATGTGACAGAGCAGAACTGCCTCATGGGCAAAGGTCAGAAATGATCTATGTGCCATCTCCAATTTTGCTTACTTGAATTAATTTTATACCTTTCTACTTTTCATTGGCTGTGACTTAATCATATTGTTTGATAATTCTTTGATATCTAAACATATGATTTTGATATTTATTAAATACAGTAAATAGGTTCTTGCCTCCGGAAATGTGTTGGTCTTTCCCATTTGGCTCTCAACTCTCCGCTTCTTATTCAGAGTGCCGTTGTTCACTTCTTTCAGTCTCTGCAAACCTCGCCTCGATAACGCAGTCTTCCCTGATTCCCCTTCAGAACACTCTTTATCATTCCGTGCATATATCACTTTAATGCACTTTTCGTTATAGTACTTACCATCAACCACCATATTACTAACATATTTACTTTGCAGTTTAGAGTTTTCCTTTCTCTATGGAATACAAACTCCCTATTATATTCCGTACAATCGGTAGGCTGGAACTTGCTCATTCTGCCCCATGCAAATGGCTTGTTCAATTCTCAGGAACGTGGAGTGCCTGCTATAACATTACCATAATTAAAAATTAAATTTAAAAACTTGCAATTCAATAAATTACACAGAACAAGTGTAATTAGTGTTAAAATCCCATCATATTATAATGATTCTACTCTATTTTGTGCAGTTGAGGTGATTTATGTCTGAAGTACCTATAGGGTGAAAAATCACTTCCCAAATCCACCTTCAGTGATTTGAAATTGTTAGATAAACATCAAACAGATTGAAAGTACCCATAGCATGGAAATCAGCACATGTTCCATAGCAAGGTCTGGCCTTCTCCAGAAATCTAATTATTATACATTTACCAAGACACCACTTATTTGAATGCATAATGCCTGGCACATAATAGGCACAAAACAAATATTATTGAATGGAAGAATAAATGATGTCCCCAAGCTGAACTCCAAAGTGGAAAACAAATGTTGATGCCCTGATAGCAGCCATACAGCTCGTCCTGGGATGATTTTTCATAGCGTCTCTGCTGAAAGAAATCTGCCGTGTAAAACAACACTGAAGTGTATAATTTAACTGATTGCAAAGAACACGTGAAGTAGAAAGTTCACGAATTTTTAACTTGGATTAAATGCATTCATATAACATTAGCTTAGGTCATTAAAAATATATTGAAGAAGACAGAGAGTTTAGTGGAAAATATTTCTAGTCCATTTTCCATCAAAATTCATACCACACCCCCTCTATATAAATAAAGTACCAGGGCTACTTCTATTTGCTAGCTCAAGAGAAAACAATGAAAAACATTCACCTTTATTTACGAGAGCAGGGGTAGAAGGTGAGTCAATGAGCCCAAGGAGCAATTTAAATTGTTTAAGCCAAGAGTCAGGTTGTCCCACTCTGGGCATATAGATCTCTTGAGGCATTAGGTTATTGCAGACAGAAATTGGTAGTGTTAAAGCTGCAAGTGAAATATTGTTGTTTGTTTTTCATTGTAAAAAAAAGAAACCCACCATGAGGCTTGGAGAGGCCCAAGAAGGGCCTGGAGGTAGCCTCATGCTGGATGCCCACACAATTCTTTCTTCCATGATCAGTCACTGACGGTTCATTTTTTTTCAATACTTTTCTGGAGTTTTAAAAACAAAATACTTAATATAAGAAGAAAATGATAAAGAAAAGAAAAATGGTTTAAAAAAGACTAGATGTCCTTACACTTAGCCATTGTTTCCTAAATAAACCCTTTTGTCATTCCCCAAGCTTCTCCTTAGTGTCACTCATAGTGATTACAAGGCGGGCAGCTAACCACAAGATCAGCATTTCAAAAGCACCAGTCACAACAGGGGAAACATACAGCACTTTGGACTCCCATCAAAAGCTGCAGTCTCAGAAACCTACCGGGCTGTTCTACCAGTTCCTAGAGTGGCATGAAGAGGCATCTCTGGGAGTGACTTTGATTTAGGTTTCAGTGTTGACTAGCAGCTGGATAATGTTTCCTCTCCTCAGTCAGATAGTTACTGTTTTATATTTGGCAAGCCAAGGGATCACCATTGAAACCCTTCAGCTCCGCCACAACACCACTAAATAAAAAAATAAACAGAGAAACCCAGCTCACTGCCACAATTGCCAACTCATAGGACTTAGAGGATGAGGTTACAAGGGCCTCTGTGGGTTTCCGGGTCTGCACCTCTTTCTCCTGAGACAATACTAAAGTAGCATAAGTTATATTTAGGTGAACTAATCTGGCTCCGGTCCAATAAAACTTTATTTATGGACACTGAAATTTGAATTTGATATTATTTTTATGTTTCATGAAATATTTTCTTGGGTTTTGTAGACATCTCAAACCCATTTTTAGCCCCCAAAATGCAAAAAGAAAAATAAACAATGAGCCAAATGTTGCCTGTGAGAAATTTGCCAAAACCACGCTTAGACTATTTGTCATTTTTGTATAGATCCCTATCTAGTAATGACTTTCAACCATTTTCCTTCAAATGGCTACGAGGCATGTGTTCCCCTAGAAGACAAGCTTGGGCAGCAAACCAGGACTTGTTCCGGTGCAGACTGCGTGGGAGGGTGGTGGTGACAAGGGCAGTGAGGGAGAGGGAAAGCGAGGAAGGAAGGGAGCACCACAAGGTGTCCAGGGCCTGTCAGGTGTTCCTGTGGATAAAGCATCAGTTGATCACTGGGAGAGAAATGAGATACAGCAATGGATGTAGATATTCTCCTGAAGAGCTTTTGATGCCGTCTGAAGGAATATATACTTTATTTTCAGCTAGTCACCCACTATTTCAGAAAAAAAAATTACCTGTAGTAATTAGAGCAGACATTTTATAACCATATACATTTGCATAAACATATATGTTTATATCCATATACAAATATATTCCTAAATACAAGTACATGCTAGAGAAGCACTGTGTTATGATATGAACACACATACTGGAAGTCGGGTCATGGTGTCTACAGTTAGCTTTACGTGTACTGACCACAGTCTTAGACTGGGATTGTTAGTCAAAGATTTAACCTTGGTTTCCACAAATAAAAACAAGACGATGATAGCTGTACATTTTTATAAATTCTGCTGAGATATGCCAGTTAGTGATTTACAGTAGACTCACTTATTTATCCTTCTGGTTACTCATCTCTAGAAGTTTTACTTCCACACTTTATTTCATGCTAAGACAATTGGGTAGATATATTTAGTACATTGGATATTGCTGTTAGAGGTAGAGCCTAATGATTATGCTACATATTTCTGAATCTATTTCAAATCCTCTGTTCACTTTTAGCCTTGGATCAACTGTGCAATTTTCTTGTGATGAGGACTATGTCCTTCAGGGTGCAAAGAGCATCACCTGTCAACGAATAGCCGAAGTCTTTGCTGCTTGGAGTGACCACAGGCCGGTGTGTAAAGGTAAAAAAAAGTCTTTATAATAAAAATTATCTTAGTACGGTTGAATAGCTGGATATTTATTCTACTTAAAATTTAATATATTACATTTAAATCTTTGAGTTGCAATTTAATTTTTATTTTTAAAAGTCAGCCGCTCATGTCTTGAATATTTGTTGAAAATCTGTCCCATGTAAATCACTGTACTAAATTCCTAAGGGGTTCTAACTTAATAATATGATAACATTTAACTTAATCATCAACTCTGTAATATAAGAACTTGGAAATTGTTTATTAATCACAAATTACCTTGTTATTGGCTGTGGTATGGATTTGTTTTTAAGCCGTAATTCCACTGAACTCATATACTTTCCCATTGTAGTTGCTCATGTGTTTCGTAGCAGTGGTGCTGGTTCAGTGGTGTTACAGTTAAGTTCTGTAGTGAGTATTTTAAATGGAATCAATCAATGACTGTCCTCGCTTTTGATATTCTCAGTAATTTCAGATAGAACAGTTTTGTCATTTTGTTTTAAATAACAAAGCAAGAAAATGACTCAGAGCAATTTAAAATACCCAGGAGACAATTTATTATGGGAAAGTTATTTTTTTTTTAACTAGGGGGAAAAAATGAAGATGAAACAACCCACACAGGCCAATCGGTTTTCTAAACAGGAGTTCAAAAGAATGAAAAATGTCGATCTGGTTTTGTATTAGATTTTAATAAACAATGTTCATTGAGTAGCCAGAGCTGATTATAAGGGACAGTGCTTAATACTGTGGTATTAATGTCATCACCTTTTTTTAGTGTTGTTCTGACTCACACAACAACAACCCCTCAAACTCACTGGCAGGAAGTGGATCCAGACTCCTATCCATCTTAGAGGACAGATCAGAACTGCCCCTTTGGGTTTCCAAGACTTCAACTTTGCACAGGAGTAGAAAGCCTTGTCATTCTCCCACAAGCAGCTGGTGGTTTTGAACTGCTGTCTTTGTGGATCCCACCTCAAGGCTCAAGCACTAAGCCACCAAGACTCCTATCTGATGGTATTCACAATAGAATAAAACGCAGTTTTCCCTGTGCCATCCTCTCAATTGTTCTTAGATGTCCATCCATCTCCATGAGAGTCTCGCTTTTCCCGACCCTCTAATTTACTAAACATGAAGTCCTTCTCCAGGGACTAGTTTCTCCTGATAACTATGCCAATGCATTGAGGTTTGCAAGGACCAGGCCATTGAGGTCAGACTGATACCTAAAAGCAAGCACTCAGTGACCAGTAGAAATAAAAACGTCAAGCTTAAGTAACTGCCACTGGCTTGAGATCAACAGAATTGTTAGGTTCCTGGAGAGGGTTACACCTCGGTTCTTTGCTTTGTACACTGAAGCTGAAGCACGTTTTGTAATCCAAGTGAGTTTTAATGGCTGCATTAGTCTGGGTATTGTAGAGAAACAAATCCACAAAAATGTATATGTATCAGAGAGAGTTTTATATAAAAGTTAAGTGCACATCAAGAAAACATCCCAACCCAGTGCTGCCCAAGCCCACAAGTCCAACATCAACCCATATGTCTGACACCAATCCACAAAGTCCTCCTCCATCTTACAAAACACACGCAATGATGCCGACTGCAAAAGGAAAGCTGAATCAGTGAACGTGTAAGCATCTCAGTGCTGGCAGGGGTCTCCACACGGCTGCTCCAGCACCCAGGGCTCCATCGGGGTAGGTCCATGCAGCTTCTCCTTGGGGATGTCTTGCAGGAAGTGAGCATTGCCAACTGAAGCAGGGAACTGCTAAGGCAGCTGCACCCTGGTCAGACCATCAGAAAGCAATTGACCAGAGAACTAGAAAGGCGAGGCTCATGGAGCCATTTATCCCTCTGCGTTTCAATTAACCCTACAGGTGTTTATCGGCCAGGTTGGTACAATAGACTAACTACCTCAATGGACAAGACAAGTTTCAGATTTTATAGTCTCAAAGTGTACACGCTATTTCTGGAAAGCATGCCAAGCCACCAGGAAGGCATGCTGGGTTCACAACTGGACACAGACAACCACGTGGAAAAGAGCATCCACACTTGAAGAGCTGGTAGTGGGGTGATAATCCCAGAAGGCCAAAAGCCCAAGAACCCAAGAGGCTAAGAAAATGGGGGCCCAGAAACAAGAACTTTTGAGCCAAGACATTTTCAGCACCTCTGGTTGGAAAGGCATGGTTGAAGGTCTTGTTTGACCATATAGGCCAAGTTAGGTCCACCTGTGTGATGTACCAAAGGTAGAGGATAGGTTTTAGGTTACACCTGTTCTAAGGGTCCTACTCTGTTCGTGCTCCATTTGGAGTCTTCCCATAGGTGTCCAAAGGCTGCCTGATTTCTTTCCAACCTCCTCTTTGGGGGCCTTTGCAGGCATGGGAGGGACAACCCCCCTGTCCGTAAGCTAGCTACCTAACAGAAATAGCTGAAATGTCATGGAGGAAATTATTTTAAAATATGAATATATTATCACTATGTAGAGCTATCTGTTTCACTTCTTCTGTTTTACTTTCCTCATTCCTCGTCGACTATATTTTCATGATTTACTCCATTTACTCAACTTTTGGCTTTCTCTGAGTATGAATTCTAACTGTGGAAATTAAATACTTTTCTGTCTTAGACCCACCCCCACCACCTTTCTTCAAAGAACGCAGTTCCTTACTTCAAAACCTTACCAAGCTGTGCTTGAACATGAATGCTCAGGCTGACTGCAGGTGTACCTGATTACTGTTGGCTGTTGTTTTCAATATTAGCATCTCTAGTTTTCCATGTGTCAACACACACCCTTCCTGTAGGTTTCCTTTTCTCTCAGGGAACATCTGTGGTGAGTCAGAGTACCTTGTAGATCCCTGTCAGGTACAATGGGCCTCATGTCGTAGGAATAGAGAGAAGATCCAGATTTGAGAGGTTCTAGAGAAGGAAAAGTCAGAGTATTTGAGAATTGGTAGGATAGAGAAGAAAGTGACCAGAAGGAGCCGAAAAAAAATGTTTTTCCAATCTATGAGACTAGAAAGAGCTTGTGCAGTTCATAACAATGAAAAAAACAACAACAACTGATCATTGGAGTACATTGTCATCACTGGTCTGATTTAAAGAAAATTTTGGAGCAAAACCACTGTGGTAATCACTGTATGGTCTCTATCTCTAATCCTCATCAGAGACCAATAGTGGCATTAATATCTACATTTTAGAAATGTGGAACATGAGGCTCTAAAAGTTGCAGTCACTTCTCTAAGTTCAAAGGATTGACAAATGGCAAATTCCTTTATGAAATCTTTTTTAAATGTGGAATGGTGAGACAGACTCGATTTCAGGGTCTTTACTTGGAAATGGGAAATGTTCACATGGAACCCCATTTATATTCTATCACATGTCCATGGCAACACAGAGTAAAAATGAAGTAAAAGAAAATCTTTATTTTTCTCAAGTTAAGTAGAAATTCTCTGCCTCTTATACTTACTCATTATTTCTCCATTTCCAAATAGATGCAAGAGAACATGTTGTGTAAGAAAGGAGAAATAAATGGAAAAGAGATAAAATGCACATGATAGTAAAAATGTGATACACATATTAGTACACATATTTAAGAATGATTTATTTTCATATTATCACTTAAACATCAATTAAAAACTAGCTGTCTAAGCAAGTAGAGAGACCGAACAGTCTTCTGAACGCTAATCGCCATGGAAATAACAGCATTCCAATGGCACATGAAGGTTCACACTTCTTCCCTGACATTGAAATCTGAAATAACCTGCATTGTTTATTCTGAACTGGACACGAAAGATACGTATTTTCAATTTTTTCTAACAATGTCCTCCAATGAATAGTGGAGGAACTGATTTCTTCTAGTGCTTTGTCTTCAAAATGAGGTTATAACCGCAGCAAGGGACAAGACAGTAAAGAAGTCACTCATCAGAAATGATAGGATCCAAATACCCTATTTCAATAGCACTTAAGCTGCATGTGTGCATTTTCAATGACCAAAAAGAAAGGGAAAATAATGAATTTTTTAAAGATTAATTTTAATGTGGGAACAAATGGTCACATGAGAAATAGATGTTATGGGTAGATCATAGAATTTTAAATCTACATAAAGTAAGATGAATGCTATAACCTTCTTTTTGTATCCAAGGCGTTCACTTTGATAAAAAGAATGAATCATCTGTATGATGGTTAAACATTTTTTCAAAGGCAGAAATAATGTGTCATATTATTTTTTGTTATTTTTTTTCATAAGCCCTATATCAATTGGAGCAACTTTGTAGACTTGCATTTTTAAATATATTTGTTGAAAAGTAATGTTTGCTTTCCTTTTCTTGGTTCCAAAATTACATACACGTATACACATATACACATTCAACAATAATGACCTGGGAATTGTTTTAAAAAGCCTTGATATTATTCCATCTAAATTTCGCATCATTTCTGCAGACATGAATCATTTATGCATAGCTCTATTTTCTCATTGCATGCAAATCATGTGTGTGGCTGATAAAGTACATTTTTGCTATTAGAAATTACTGGCTGTGGTTCTGGAAACAGAAATGGAAGGAACATGATGAAATAGTAATTGAAGTCTTAAAATGACTCGCCACTGTGAGTCTGCACAAAGAATACTTCTCCTGTCTCCTGGGTGCTTGAGCAGAATAAATATGCTTTTTACCAAACAGCAGCATAAATAGCAATATCAGTGCACTGCACCTTTGAGCAGTTATAAAGATAGTTGCTATCAATTGCATAATTGAGCAATCATGAAGTTACAATTTTTAAAGAGACTAGAATTTCACAAAATCCAAAGATTATCAATTAAAAAGAGCAATTCAGATTAATATTAATAGATGTTGCAAAAATTAGAGCAATTTTTCATCCTTAAATGGAAAATGTGTATGAGATATTAACCACAGAGTGGGGGGAAGAGATATTAACCAGTTTGCAACCATGTAAACAATTTGTCCTATGGTGGAAATTAGGTAGCGGTGGTGTGGCTGCTAGGTGCC